TCCTATAGAGTACAAAGGAAGGTGAAGCTCACGCAACCTTTCGAGAGTGTGTCTGGAATCTTCATGTTAGTGGAGACGTGGGACCGGAGGAGTTCAAGGAAACTATTTTAACTAAATTGACCGTAATGAAATTATACAAATTAATAATAAATAATCACAAAATTAATAAACTAAACCATATTAAAGATGTCAATATAAATATAAATATATTTATATCAAAATTAAGACAAGAAACTAACAAATGAATTCCAAAGAAATGGGAATATGTAAGATGATGTTGGCTAAGATGCTTCCCATTCTAATAATATAAAGTCCCAACGATTAATTTAGGAAATGATCATGAATTTATAATAAGTAATGTTATCGAACTAGTTGGAAAGTCCAAAGCAAACCCACCAAAGCTTACGTTTAAAATGGACAATATCATATAATTACAGAGAATGATGTTCATCACTTTCTCTCTAAAACCCATACATTTCTTCAACTCCTTGCATTCATTCATTCATCCATCCCTCTCTGTTTATATATATATATATATATATATATATAAACCTCTACAAGTACACCATATTTTAGCTTTAAAAACACACACAGAGCATTCTTTTGGAAAGAAACAGACAATCTGATCTTCCATTTGGTTTGTTTGTGCTTCTTTTGAGGTCTTTGAATTCGGCGGTGCCCTTTCCTTTTTGCTTCTTTTTATTGCCATTTCTGTAGAATTTGGTGGCGCATTAAAGTCCAGACCTTTCGTTGAGTCCAGCTACTTCATCTTCTTCTCTCTCTCTCTCAACGCGTTTAAGACCCCTTTCAAACAGCTCCTTCCTCTTCAATCCTCTGTTTTCGCTCTGTTCTTGCTCTGTCGGAGAGTTTCAGAGAAGCAAAGCTTAAACTACTTCCGTTTGTTTCTTTTGAATTTTTGTTTGTGAAGACGATCTGGGTTCTCTTCAATCTTTCCACGAAAGAGACATTTCGAACAAAGGTTATCAGTTTCTTTCGATCATTCTAAACTTTAGTACCCGAAAACTCTGTTTTTTTTTTTTTTTTTTTTTTTTTTTTTTTTTTTTTTTTTTTTTTTTTTTTTTTTTTTTTT